GGGACACAGGAGGGGAACGAGGGGGGAGACGAGCCGGGGACGAGTCCGGCGGAGGAAAAACAGGGCCGTAGACAGGAAGAGGAGGAGACGGTCGGGGAGGAACCGACGCAGGGTCGGGGGACGGAAGGCCGAGCAGGCAAAGGGCTGACACCGGCGGGGACTGCTGCTGCGGCGGCACAACGGCGACACCTGGACCGCAAGCCGCTCCTCGGCTACCACCGGCACTCTCCACACCAGCACCCCCAGAGGGACCACCCCCAGGGCGACCGGGACGAGCACCCCCAGAGTCAGCGAACGGGTGCTGTGACGGCGGCGGCGGTGGCGGCAGAGGCGGTGGAGGAGGGGACTGGGGAGGGGACGCCAGGGGAGGGGCGGCCGGCGAGGACTGAACAGGAGGGCCACCAGAGTCAGAAGACTCCTCAACCGGGTCCACCGACGGAAGGGGGGTAACGTGGGACACACCAGAGGGGGCAGGGCGGGGAGGAGGAGGGTGGGGGGCAGGGACTACCGGGGAAGGGGTGACCAGGAACAGGGGGGGGTAACCGGGGGACCACGGTGGGGAAAGCGGCGGTAGTAGGAGACGGACTCGTCAAAGGTGACGTCACGAGAGTGAAAGAAGCGGTGAGACGGCGGGTGGTAAAAGTGCCAGTCGGACGCGTCAAGGGGAAAACCGAGAAAGACGCAGGGAAGGGTGCGGGCAGTGAGCTTGTCCGTGCCGGAGGCACGGACGTGAGCAAGGCAGCCCCAGACGTGGAACGCAGACGCGTCACCAGGAGACCCAGTCCAAAGACGGGTCGGTGAAACCTGCGGCTGCTGAGGGTGCGGCCACAGGTTAAGCTGGTGAGAAGCGTAGCGCACAGCGAACGGCCACAGAAAATGGGGTGCACCGGCATGGATCATGGAGGTGCGAGCGACCTCCATGACCAAACCGATGCGTCGCTCAGCGACCCCATTCTGCTGTGGGGAGTCCGGTAGGGTGAGCGTCTGGGTGATGCCCTCCGCACGACAAAAACGACCAAGGACACCGGAGGCAAACTCGCCACCACGGTCTGAGTGAAGACGCAAGACAGGGAGACCGCGGTGGACACGCGTAGAGACAAGCCAGGGGATGAGGGCGCCAGGCACGTCGGCCTTGCGCTCCAGTGGAAAGACTGTGGTGTAACGAGTGAAGTCGTCGACAAGCACAAGGAAGTAGCGCTCTCGACGCGGCCCAGGGACGGGGGCGGGGCCCCAGACGTCCAGGTGCAGGGTCTGCAGCGGCGCGGCGGTAGGGGGAAACGAGGAGGAGTGAGGGGCACGGCGAAGCCGACCCTCGACACAAGGCGTGCAAGGTGGGGCTGGGGAGGAGGGAAACGCAGGGAGAGAACCTGGGAGACCAAGGACAAGACCGTGCTGGGACATGTGACGCAGACGCTGGAGCGCAGGGTGACCTAGGCGGTGGTGCCAAAGGAGGGTCGGGTGAGTGAGGGACCGACAGGAGCAGGCGGCAGCAACCTGGGTGAGCGCTCCAGCCGGGGGGGTCACGGTGTCCAGAGTGAACAGGCCGGACACCGGGTCCCGGGGGAACGTGGACAGGGGGGCACCAGTGGCGGCCTCGGTACAGTCAGCATACCGCTCGTGACCAGGGAACGTAGTGGTGACGCCAAGGTCCTGGAGGCAGCCGACACCAACTAGGTTCCTGGAGAACGAGGGGATATGCAGACCTGTAAGAGAACCCGAAGGAACCGCCGGACAGGGAAGGGTGGTGGAACTGCGGGCGACTACCGGACCGCCGGAGGGGTCAGCAAGAGAAACGGCAGCAGGAACAGGAAGCGGCGTCAGGGTGGTGGAGTCGCGGAAGAAACACCGAGAGGCGCCAGAGTCCAGGGTGAAGGACAGCGAAGCCGAGGGGTCTGGCGACGGAACGACGGCGGAAGCACCAAGACTACACAAAGCTGGGGATCCTATACCTGACGCAGCAGGGGAGGCTAAGCTAGGCACACCTACACTAGGCAACAGTGAGTAATAAGCGGGAAGCACACTAGAGTCATCGGCATACATCACATGCAGAGCGGAAACAATGGCATCCATGTCCATATCAAAAATCTGAATCTGACGACTAAGCAAACTGTGCCAGTCCGGGAGGTCTGGCGACGGGCCGAAGCGCTGACGAAAGAGGTCGTCCAGGCGACGAAAACAGCGGGGAGTGGAGTGACCGATCTTACCGCAAACGAAGCCGCGGCGAGGACCGGTCTGGATCTGGTACTGACAACGCCCGCCGCCAGAGCCACCACGCGGCACACCACCACGCGCCCGGCCACCGCCAGCGCCCGGCCACCCTGGCGGAAGGACACTCGGCTGCCGCGTCTGCGGCGGCTGCTGCGGCTGCTGCGAAGGCTGCGACTGCGGCGGCTACTGCACCTGCAGGGGCGGCGACTCAGCTGAACTGGGCAGGGTCCCCTCGTCCACTCGAGCACCAGGCGACCCGACCCCACCACTACCCCCGCCCGCACCCCCGCCGCCTCCTTCGCCGCGCCCAGCCTTGGGGCGGCGGCCCTTCCCCGAACGGACCTGCGCTGCAGCAGCAGTCTCAGCCACTGCGGCAGAGCCGTCGGAGAAGGTGCACTGAGCGGGGGCACAACCCTGAAAGATAGGGACCGGCACGACACCGCTCGCCTGGGCGATGGAGCGGTGACGGGTCTCTATCACAGTCAGGGTGTCTACAAAGTCAGTGAGGGTGAGGTCTGCGGGGTGAACGCTAAGAAAGCGGTCGCGGGCGACAGCAAGGCGGTCAAGGAGGCGGGTTGCAAGCAGATAGAGGGTAGAGGTAATGGGCGGCTGGTGGGCTGTAAGCTGGGCGTCAGTGCAGGCAGCGCGCCAGGTCTCATCTATCGAGCGCAGGTGGGCAGCGAGGTCAGAGACAGTGGGGAAAGATGCAAGGTTAGGAAAGAGCATCGGAAGGATCAGGCGACCCACCGAGGCAGCCGGAGGGGTGGAATAGCGCTTGATCACAGCATCTAAGTATGCCTGAGCAGTAGTGAGAGACCTAAAGCGAGGACGCTCAGATGGGGGAAGGGCGTTGCTAATGGCAAGCTGGGCAACAGCATCGCGAGAAAGCCAGACAGAGCGCGCACGGGCAGTGGCAGCAGTAGACTCACGCTCAGTGGGTGTGGGGTCAGCGGCCAGGATAGCAGGGGGGTCTGGGCAGGGGAGCGTACCGTCAAGGTGTGCGGAAAGCGGTTCACCATCCTGCCGCTGGCCAGTGAGTTGGCGGCGGAGGTCGGCAAGCCACGCCCCGAACTCTAGGGGCTGACCTTCAGCGTCGAAGCGAAGCTCCGCCGCCATCAGGAACAGTCCAGTGCGGTGCAGGGCAGTGCAGTGCGGTGCAGTGCGGTGCAGTGCGGTACAGGGCGGTGCAGTGCGGTGTAGTGCGGTGCAGTGCAGTGCAGTGCGGTGCAGTGCAGTACAGTGCGGTGCAGTGCGGTGTAGTGCGGTGCCAGGCAGTAGAGTGTGGTGCGGGGCGGCACGGAGCAGGGCGGGGTGGGGGGGGGGGGGAACCTACCTACGCGTGATACCATATCAAAATAATTGAATAATGGTAAAGATGAGAGTACATGTTCAAATTATATACGTTATAATTTAATATAGGCTTGGTAGGTTGTTACTGAACCTTTCTGTAGGGGGTACAAACCCCTCCTTGTACTCCTCTCTCTTCCTAATCCAATCCCTTCTTTCTCGTCACTTTTTGCCTACTCCTAGATCTACTTGCCTCACGCCATTCCATGGCGTCCTTCCTTCCTTCCTAGCTAAGCTAGGTTCCTAAGTTTAGTTTGTGTCCTAAGCTTTTTTGAGATGGTACCAGAGCAGGAGATCCTCCCTGCTGGACCGCCTCCTCACGCTTCCGCCATTTACTCCTCACTCTCATTCGCTCGAGCGGCATGGCGGCCGCGTTTTGCTGCAGTGGCGACGTCGCGCTGCCACTGGCCGCGTCGTTCCGCGACCGGCTCGACGCGCTGCCGCGGAGTCGGGCCGTCGTTCTGCAGTCGCAGCGTCGACGTCCCGCTGCGGCATCGACGCTGCCTCTGCCGTCGCGACGTCGACGTCCTGCTGCAGCGTCGACGTCGCTCTGTGACGGCGCCGTCGGGCCGCAGCCGGTTGCGCGACGCCTGTGACGCCGCCACCGCCCGCACGCATCACGCCCACGACCTGTCGCGCCACACCGGGGGCTGCTGTCGCCCCGCCCCCTCCCCTTCCCCCCCCACCTGCACCTGCTTCCCCTGCATCCCCCCCTTTCTTGCTGCAGCCGATGACTGCCTCATGAGGGCCCTCTCCTCCGCCGAGGAGACTGGACATGCCGCCGAGAGGGCGGGGGCCGCTGCACCGGCCTCTGACGTTCAAGCCGCCGCCGCAGCCGCTGTTGCCGCGGGCCTGGTGTCGCCGCACGCCGCCGACGCCGCTGTTGCCGCGGGCCTGGTGCCGCCGCACGCCGCTGCCGCCGCCGCTGTCGTCACTGTCGCCGCTGCCGCCATTGCCATCTCACGGGCCGTGGGAGCTGCCCTCTTCCGGAGTCGTTGCGGCTCCTGCTGGGAATGGGGGTGCTGGGCTAGGGGGTGTGGGTGTGGGTGTGGGTGTGGGTGTGGGGGTGTGAGTGGGCTTGACACTACCAAGCCTAGGGGGTGTGTTCAAATTATATAAGTTATAATTTAATATAGGCTTGGTAGGTTGTTACTGAACCTTTCTGTAGGGGGTAAAAACCCCTCCTTGTACTCCTCTCTCTTCCTAATCCAATCCCTTCTTTCTCGTCACTTTTTGCCTACTCCTAGATCTACTTGCCTCACGCCATTCCATGGCGTCCTTCCTTCCTTCCTAGCTAAGCTAGGTTCCTAAGTTTAGTTAGTGTCCTAAGCTTCTTTGAGAGTACACACAAATATACCTAAGTGTTGTACCCTCTAAGCGGTAACTCTATACAGTCTATACAAACATAACAAATACAGATGTTTGACATATCCCTCACAAACACCATATTGTACCCATGTCGCTGACAAGCTCTGCACATGGTTATGGGTTGCATTTGAGCCGGATTTCCCTTTACCTATGGTGCATCTTGTTGCAGCCGCCTCTGTGATCATGCCCTATCCTCCTAGGCCATGTTGTCGCATCGCATGCCCTCGTATAGAACCCCCACTGGACCGGCCACCACAGCAAATCCCCTGGAAACGTTAAACATGTTGGTAAGAGGCTTCCGCAGCCCTATACTCTTCCCCCAACTGCTGCTCATTTCCAGGTTGAGAAGATAAACACGCTATACAACTGGGGCTTATACATACAAACTGCACAGCGCTAGCAGAGCCACCGATACATGCACGCGCATGAGAAGCGTTGTCCCGTCAACATGGTTTCTGGGACGATCCGCCGTCTTGTCTGCCTTATCTGATACCACCAGTGTCACGAGAACCAAGCCCGTCTCCCACCCTACCACCCGCCACTCCCCTGACAACATTAAGCGTGACTATTATGCAGAAGAGCTCGGTGCTGTTGGAGTCTGTGGCCATGAGACGCGCATAGTAAGGCCCCTGGTGATAGTAGGGCGTGTGGGATCAAACAGACGGACAGGTGAAACAAGCACAGAAATGAGAAACGACTGGATGGCGTAAATGGCAGACAGGTGGACAGGCGGTTGGTTGGATTAGGTTGAAAAGGGGGGAATTGGAGGGTGGAGATGGGAAGGAGGTGGCGGAAATGGCAGGGAGAGACTCTCTCGTCGAACAAGCAGCAGAGCAGAGTCAGTCACTGTACAAGGGGATGCTTACAGGGAATGCAAGGCTGGGGACATTCCGCCAATACTGGAACGTGAAGCTCCCAGGGAGCACAGGACATGCCGTCTGCTGGCAAATGTCCGTGTACTCAACATGCACGGGCAGCCCGTGAAACTTTATTGTCACTGCCACATGCCCCCCTGCTATCAGCTGCCCTGGAAAGACAGGAAAACGGCGGAGGGGAGGGAGGGGCATGCGGCGTTAGCCTGCACCCCGCCAATAGGTTTATTAGACGCTGCATGTAGGGGTGGAGGAATGGGGAGAGGCGTGAAGCAGAATTGTTAACGTGGAGGGCACCGACACCACCGCACCGCACATGCAACGGATGCACAGAAGAACACCTGGGAGGTGCAAGGGCCGCGAGAACGAGTTGCAAGACCGGGGTGCAAAGAACGGGGTGCATGGATGGCGGTGCTCTCACTGGCGACTGCTGGCAGCTGCAGCTCAAACTGGTGGCCGATGACGGGCGGGTCCGGCGCCATGAACACGTCCCGCACCTCCACAGTTGGCTCGCGCGCTGCCTTGCCACGCCGGCACGGTGGGATCGGCGGGGTATGGTGGTCCGGGGGATGAAAGAAACGGGGGAGGGCGGGGGGAACGGCGGGCGAAGACAGGAGAGGGAAGGCGAGGGAGAGTGAGATAGCGACCTCGGAGCACATGTCCTTCTGTAGCTGGACTGATCGGCGGGGGATTTACTGGGGAAAGATAAGAGGTCATGGGCGTCGTGCGACTTACAGCAATCTTCCCATTCCGTCCGGCTTGGACTGCGACTCCCGGTTGACTGGGTCTCCGCACCCCGCATCAACATCATCATCGTCGTTGTCATCGTCGTCGCCACGCTGCTTCTACCGGGCCCACTACGACTACTATCACTACTACTAGCACTGCGGGTCTCTGCGTCCCTGCCAGGGGCACTCCCTAGTGTCTCTGGAGGGAGGCCTGACGTCAACCCGGCTGTTCGAGCCGCCATAGTACCACCCGTAGGCGCGCCAGGATCCTTCGAGATAGTCGCAGCAGCGACGGTGCACGGAGCCCGCGCAGGCAGCAGCCAAAGCAGCTGTAGCGCGACGACGAAGGCAACAACCGTCGACGGCGACGATGGGGCAGCAGCGCCACCGACCGACCGGCGTAATCGGCGCTGGAGGAGGCGTCGTTCCCGATCGCGCGGATTCCCCGTGGAAGTAGGAATCGAAACTGAGTACGACGGCGGAAGGGGCGGCGACATCGTGGCCGGCGGTGGCTGTTCGACGAGGAGAGGAATCCCGAAAGAGGGTGGGAAAAGTGTGAGGAAAAGAGGGAAAGTGCTACAACTCCGAGGGAAAATGTGGGAAAGGTGTGAGGAATCTGCAACGACTCCGAGTCTGAGTGCTACTAGCACTGTGTGAGGCACAAGGACGAAGTGACAGGCGGTTGGCTCTGTCGACTTGAAGCGCCAGGGAACCGTGGGGCTCCAAGCGAATCTGAATCTTGCTAGGAGGAGACGCGAAATGGCGAGGATGATGATCGCAGCGCCGGGTTCTCTTGCTGCTCGCTGGTGATCGGGCAGCGCGACGAGCCACCTCTTACCACATCGCGTCCAGCAAACAGGAGAGAACCACAAGGCTGACTGAGCTGAAACAACCTACATGGAATCCACACTCTGGAAGGAGTAAGGTTGGATTGGGAGAGGAGAACCATGGGAGCGAGGGAGGAGACAAGGGAGTGAAGGGGGCGGGCCTGCTGGCAAGCACGGCCCAGGGAGTGACGCCACGCAATGTCAGGGGAGAGGGGGCGGCTGGGTGTCGCATGCGCAAGCAGCACGGACACACCCTTCTGTGACCTCAGCCTGAACGCCTTTTGCGCTGTCGACTACGTGGCGTGCTTTGAGTGGATGCTACTCCTAAGAACCACCTATCACAAGCATGCTGTTGTAGTGTCAGCCAAGTTGTTGCAAATAAAAACTTCATTCGCTTAGATTCTAGAGAATCCTCTACTTTGGTCTTGAAAACGGGACAGCTCTCCTTTGGACTTAGGCTACACAAAACCATTTACAAGGTCTGCATAACATTAGTGTTTGTAGAACAAAGACGAAAGCTTTTTATTGCTCCCTACATAATAGATGCTGTACATTGAAGGACACAATGAGAAGCTTGGGGGGAAAAAAGGACCCCTCCAGGTCTCCAGGAGCAAAACTCCATCCTGGACACTGTCAGGCGGACATTATCCGCCATAAATAAAGGCCTGTCGCTTGACAGGCGTTGGAAGGGAAGTTGCAAGGAGCAACATATGTTGCTAGCAGTGGAAAAGAAGAAGAAAAAACCCTGCTAGCATGCCGCAAGCCACATGTACAGCAGTGGCATGATTGCCGGTCTCATGTTGCAGCGTGGTCGAACCGCTTCAAGACGGCTTCGCCCATCTTGGAAATGCACGCGCTGCCGTCCTTGAGCGCCTTCGACGGGCCCTCAATGACGTTCTGCTAAGCGCGCGCACGCACAACAGAAAATGATCATAATCCAGATGAGTAAACGCGAGAGAACGGAACGAGCAGGAAGCGGGAGGGTGGCAGCGGACAAAGGGACAGCGGCAGGGACGGAGTGAGAGAGGGGGGAGGGAGGCAGAGTGAGTGAGGGAGGTTATAAGCACTAACCGAAATGGAGGAGACAGCGGCTTCCCATGCGTCTTCAATCATAGGGTCCACATCGACGTGAAAGCCTGCTCTGTGGTGCGTCTGTCGCATCGGGCAATTCTCCGAATGATCCGACCCAACGCAGTTTAAAGTAGTATGGCAGGTCGTTCCGGGACCTCTCAAGAACGGCGACTTAGCGGCGGCTGCTACAACATGCGGAACCGTCTTTGGCGTAAGCGGATGAAGCGGAGTGAGCGTCATGGAATAAGGTTGAGAAATTGCGAAGCAGATTCGAAACCTGTGTCGATCTCTAAGGCGCAGGTGTGGTGTGTAGATTGTCCTTTCAGCGCTCGTAGTACCCTAATTGCAATCCGAGGTGTTGTTAGTCGAAAGTAGAAGCAGCTGCTGTTCCTGCTGCTGTTGTACATCACATCACATCACGTTCTACTCTTCTACTGATCTACTCTTCTGGTGTTGGACATGTTTTGACCTCGCCCTTCGCAGGTGGTTCAGCTTGGTCCACTCACAGCGGGAAGACGGGGATGAACGACCGGGTGGGACGGAACGGAACCGAAGCTAAGGGCGTCATATGGCTCCATCTTATCTCTGAACCCTACCGGAACGTAGTAAAATAGCTTTTAACGCTTCAAAACACACGCAAACGCACTCAACCGTGTTAAGGTGAACCCTTATGGCTCGCCCTGATTTGTTCTCCTTACCATCCTTGGCGGCGGCTGGCTGGCCGAGCCAACAGGTATGGGCTGCTGCGCGTCGCAGCGTGGGGCAGGCGGGCAGCTGGTGGGTTTGGCATGGCCCATCCATGATAGGTCTAGCCTGGGCAACGACGGCTGTTGTCACTCGAGTGAGAGGTGGATGGAGTTTGAGGGGTCGGTCAATTCAATATGACAGCGGGCTGACTTTAAAGTTCACCATGCTGACGTGGACAGCACAAAAGCGAAACAGATGCTGCCCCAACAGCAAGCCTACTGGCTAACCGGGCAGGGGATACTTCTTGATCCATCCAACCAAACGTCACAGATCTGGGCTTTCTTATGACTTGGAACGGAATTTGCGGAACCATTTCAACGTTGGCATATGCACGCCTGTGATGTAACGCCACGTGATGTAGCCAGGGCCACCGCATTTCCCACGCACCAACCACCGCATCCAAGCCAAAGGTTTCCGCTCACAGGCGAAACATTAGCGCGTACGACATCAGCCAGAAGTATTCACCGCACAATGAAAAGTGATATCAAGTTCCGCCTAATGTACCAATTGTAGCAGATTATGCCATATCCCATTGATGTGCGAGCACTGCTGCTGTGAGTCAACTCGGATGCAATATACTGGTACTTTGGGAATATCTGGAAATCAGCGGTCATGACTCATGGCATACGTACCTCAGCAGTCAAGAATTGAGGGAAATGAACCACACCTTAGTAATTCACGAGTAACAAGAGACATCCTATCCTAGCATGACATATATTTATGCTAAATCATTGTTCGATCAAAAGATGCTACCACCACACCCCAGCGGATTTTTGTGGGAGCCATCCCTTCTCTCTGCTCTTGACGAAGCTCCAATGCTCCCAGCCTGGCCATTAAACATGGTGGTGGAAGGGCAACAGGGCACACAGAGCAAAGGGAGGAAAGTTATTGATTGACAATAAGGCAGTGAACGATGGAGCCACCCCAACCCCCCTTCAACCACTCCCTTCCCCCCCCCCCCACCCCCCCACGACTCCCAGCAGCGGCGCACCTAGCGAGATGTTGTGTTTGAGCGACCAGAAGAACCAGCCGGCCTGTGCGGTGCCAAAGGCCTGCAGCTGCGCCTTGCCAAACGCCGCCTGGTAGTTGTCATCGGGGTGTGCCATGGCGTTCGAGAACTCGCCCACCAGCAGCGGCCGCCCAAACTGCAGGGAGGGGGGCAGGGCAATGGCAGGGCAATGGCAGGGCAATGGGGGGTGGAGGGAGGAGGGAAGGGGGACGGGTGATCGGGGCGAGGTGAGGGGAATAGAGGGACGACAGTCAAGGTGGCTCGTGCTGTGCAACATACTCTGCGCGTTTGCTCAAGCGGTCCCTTGGCAGGCCCCCCCTCACTCTCATTCCGCATCTGGCTGTCCCCCCACATCCCCTGCGTTCGTCCCCTCCTGGCACTGGTGCGCTCACCTGCTGATAGTCCTTGATCTTGGCGGGCATGGTGGTGCTGGTGTACTGCACCTCCTGCGCGGCCGTCATGCCCTTGTTGTTCACCAGCTCCGGATTGAACACGTTGTAGAAGTGTGACTCCAGAATAACGTTCGTGTGCACGTTGTCGTACAGGTGCCAGTGCATCTCCCAGATGTTGGACCCGATCCGCCCCTCCATGGACATGAATGCGCACTTGGCGCCCTTGCGCAGCGCCGCGTACCCCGCCGTGTAGTACCGCTTCAGGAACGGCAGTGTGACCCCCGACTGAATCCCGTACACCCACGGCGCCGCCGGCTCGTTCACCAGCCCGATCCCGAGGAACTCACTCTTGCCGCCGTACCGCTTCCCCAGCCACTCCACCAGCTGGAGCGACTTTTGGTAGTTGGCGCGCTGCGGCCAGAGAGTCAGCGAGTCGCGCGACCCGTACGTCCCGCTCTGTGTGCCCGGGAGCACGTGCAGGGACAGCCAGATGCGGATGCCGTATTTCTTCCCCATGGCGAACGCCCAGTCGAGGCGCTCGCGGGTGCCTGCTGCCCAGGGGTACTCGGGTTTGGGGTCCTGCATGACCCAGTAGGGGATGGGGATGCGCGCCGCGTTGAGCCCCTGCCGCCTCATGTAGGCGAAGTCGGCCTCAGTGAGGTATGCTGCGCGGTAGGAGGAAATGTAGGACGTGGCCCGGGAGCCCAGGGAGGCCGAGAGCTGCCACTCGTCGTCACGCGTGCCCGTCTGGAGGAGGGGGGAGGTGGGGAGAAGGGAGGGAGGGAGGGAGGGAGGAGAGGGGTGAGCGGGTTTGCGGGGGGTGGGTGGGTGTGAGGGAGAGTGTGGGAGCGAGAGGGGAGACGGTGGGCGATGGTGAGAGCAGGCGAGACGGCAAGACGGCAGCAAGACGGCAGCAAGACGGCAGCAAGACGTACAATGGTGACGATGAAGGCAGTGTCCCCGGACCATGACTTGGACGTGCCGTCCGCCACGAGGTCACCTGCTGCCGTGGCGCGCAGCAGCTTGCCGTTGGGCGCCACAATGCGCACGAGAGTCAGAGTGCTGTCCTTAAACTGAAACAAGAAGTCCGACAGCTGCACAAGAGGGAGGGAGGGGCAGGCGGGGGAGGGGGGAAGGGGGCTTTTGAGTCGACTCAGAAGCCATCTCGCCGTTGGGCGCCAAAATGCGTGCAAGAGTCCTTGAACTGAAATGAAAACTTCGACATCTGCAATGGGGGGGACCGGGGGAACAGAGAGTGGGGAGAGGAGAGGGGTGTGAAAGATTGCATGGTATCTAATGGCATGGATGGGCATGGCATGGCATGGTATGACACGGCATGGCATGGCAAGGCACGAGAGGGCACGGATAGGCATGGCACGGCTGGATCCACGTGGGCTTACCTTCTTGGTGGGGTTGGGCGAGCCCGCAACGACCGAGGAGCCAGAGAGCGCCCAGAACTGAGTGCCCTGCACGCGCACCTGCATAGAGAGAGGGACGGGCAAGGGGATTGCGTAGAGAGGGTAGGATGAGCGTGAGTAGGGCCTGAGAGCGTGACAGCGCCCAGAGCTGAGTGCCCTGCGCGCACACCTGGGTGGGACAGAGATGGGGGGGGGGAAGGAACGAGGCGCAGAGGGAGACAGGAGCGGATGGGGGGAGGATGGGTGGAGGGAGGATGGGGGAGTGAGCCAGTGAGGGCAGGGCCTGAGAGGGGCCCGACCTGCGTGGCCTGCCCGCACTCACCCTCTCTAACTCCCCCATCCTCCCTCCGCCCATCCACGCAGAACTGCGTGGCCTGCACGCACAGCGGAGTAGCGGGAGAGGCAGGAAGAAGCCAGGTACGTGCATGCATGGCGTGCGTGCATGCATGCCGTGCGTGCATGCATGCCGTGCATGCATGCAGACGTGCGTGCATGCATGTCGTGCGTGCATGCATGCCGTGCGTGCATGCATGCCGTGCGTGCACGTGCGTGCACGCATGTCGTGCGTGCACGCATGTCGTGCGTGCGTGCATGTCATGCGTGCAGGCATGCCGTGCGTGCATGCATGCCGTGCGTGCGTGCATGTCGTGCGTGCATGCATGCCGTGCGTGCATGCATGTCGTGCGTGCATGCATGTCGTGCGTGCATGCATGTCGTGCGTGCATGCATGTCGTGCGTGCATGCATGTCGTGCGTGCATGCATGTCGTGCGTGTGAGCGAGCGTGCTTACTTGGTACTTGCGGGCGCCGTTGGTGCGCAGGAAGAAGATGCCGTCGTACCCCTGGGTGGCGTCCTTGCAGATGATCTGACCACACAAGAGGCGGCCGCACCCACAGTTGAGGGAGAGGGGGAGGGGCAGGGGGGATGTAGTGGATGAGGGGAGAGGGGGTCATACAATTGAGGGACGACTGGAGAAGGTGGAGTGAGGAGTGAGGAGTGAGGGGTGAGGGGTGAGGGGTGAGGGGTGAGGGGTGAGGGGTGAGGGGTGAGGGGTGAGGGGTGAGGGGGAAGTGGAGTTAGAAGACGCAGGTGGCCGTGGAAAGTTGAAAACCGGAGCGACTGATGAAGCAATACTACAAGAGTTGTGAGAACACGTGAAAAGCAAATGGTCGCTGCAGCAGACTAAAGCATTGGATAAAGGTCGAAAGCGGGGAGAGAGGGGAGAGAGGCGAGAGAGGGGGGAGAGGCGTGGGTGCACGTACTGTGGTGCCGCCGTAATTCTTGGCCGTGACGTACTTGCTGGTGGTCGCCGACTTGAGCCGGAACTGATGGGGGCAGCGGGTGGGCGGGAGGGTGGGAGGGCAGGAGGCAGAGAGTGGGAGACCAATTGGAAGGAGTGGAGTGGGAGACCGATAGCCACCCCATCCCGACTCTTCAATTCAATCCTTGCACCTCGCTCACCATGCCACCAAACCCACACCCCCCCACCCAACACCCTCACCCACCATGGTGCCGTCCTTCCACTTGGGCGGGTTGCTGTATGGCCCCGGGTTCATCCGTCCACCCTCGGACACAACGACCACCACGTGCCACGAGGCAACCACACCCACCATTGCCATCCCCTCCCCACCCCACCCCACCCACCATGGTGCCGTCCTTCCACCTGGGCGGGTTGTTGTACAGCCCCGGGTTCATCCAGCGCTCAAATACCAGCCAGCCGCCGATGTTGGCGCCCCTAATAGCGGGCACCATCATGGCCTCGAACACCACGAACGCCTCCCACTCCGAGGGGGTGGTCGCCCACCGCAGCAGCTGGTCGCCCTTGTTGCCGCTCGCACTCACGTACTTGCCGTCGTACGCCAGCAGGTTGATCTGGGGGAGAGGGGGGAGATGGGAGAGGGGAGATGGGAGAGGGGAGATGGGAGAGGGGAAATGGGAGAGGGAAGATGGGAGGGGATGTGCAGGAGGGCATGCGCATGAGGAGATATGAGGAAGAAAGTTATAAACACGAGACCATCTCTGGCTGTCTCGCCTCGTCTCTGAATGTGCTTCAGAATGCCGCACCGTCCACATTCCCACGCACCAATTGTCCTTCCGGCCCTCTTACCTCACCCCTCTCTCTCTCCTCCTCACACCCCCCCCCCCACCACTCACCCTATCCGCGCCGACTTTGACCACAGTGAAGATTGTCGTCTTGTCCGCCTTAGCGGAGAGGTCCATAGTGGGGATTTTGCTGTTGATGCCCTTGTACACGCCGCCCGCGCGCACATACTTCCCCCCTGGCACCTGCAGCCGAATCTGGTGGGGCGGGTGAGGTGGGGGGGGGGACAGGGGGGAACAGGGGGAGGACAGGGGGGGGGCGGGGAGGACAGGGGGGGAGCGGGGGGGACAGGGGGGGAGCGGGGGGGATGGGAGGAGGGTGAGTATGGTTGTATTAGAGGGAGGAGGAGAATGCAGCGGAGAGAGGGTGCGGAGGAGAGAGATGGAGGGGGTTGGTCGTGGATATGGTTAGCAAGGCTATGGGTGCATGCTGGCTCTCATATGGGTGCTCGCGGGCGAGCGCACCTGTGTGTTTGAGACGCGCACGACGAGGAAGGACGAGGTGATGCTGGGCTCGCCGCGGTGCGGCGACTGCACTGTGCCGCCGCCCCCGCCCCATGCCACGGCGTTCTCCGGCCCCCACCACGTCTGAAACGCCTTGGACATGAGCTGCACCTGGTGGGGGTGAGACCGCAGGTAGGAGGTATTGAGGTTTGAGGAGGCCATAGAGAGAGGAAGGGGAAGGGGAGGGGGAGAAGGAAGGGGAAGGGGAAGGGGAAGGGGAGGGGGAAGGGGAAGGGGAAGGGGAAGGGGAAGGGGAGGGGGAAGGAGAAGGGGAAGGGGAAGGGGAGGGGGAAGGGGAAGGGGAAGGGGAAGGGGAAGGGAAGGGGAAGGGGAAGGGGAAGGGGAAGGGGAAGGGGAGGGGAAGGAGAAGGGGAAGGGGAAGGGGAGGGGGAAGGGGAAGGGGAAGGGGAAGGGGAAGGGGAAGGGGAAGGGGAAGGGGAAGGGGAAGGGGAGGGGAGGGGGAAGGGAAGGGGAAGGGGAAGGGGAAGGGAAGGGGAAGGGGAAGGGGAAGGGGAGGGGAAGGGGGAGGGGAGGGGAGGGGGAGGGGGAGGGGGAGGGGGAGGGGAGGAGGAGGGGGAAGGGGAGGGGGAAGGGGAAGGGGAAGGCGAAGGCGAAGGGGTTTTGAAATGCCTTGGGTACTCCCTCGCCTGCAGCCGCTGCACGCAATGCACGTGTTTCCACTTATCCCTTTCTCCTCTCCCTTCCCCCCTCCCCCTTCTCGCTCCCCGCCTTTCCTCCTCATCCCGTTACGTCTCTCCCGCCCTTCCCTCCCCCATTCCCCATGCTCCCCTCCCCTCCCGCTCCCCCGACCATCTGCGTGCTGGCGCGCCCCTCTCCCCGCTCTTCCCCCCTTCCGCCTACCGCCTTCCCCCCCCTGTCTTCCGCTCGACGTACCCGCGCGCCGTGCGCCATCTGCGTGCTGATCCACTTGGACTTGAACGACGGCCGCCCCTTGCCGATGCGCGGCGCGCGGTTCGAGCAGCACGGCCCGCGGCACACCGGACCGGCTACGGCCTTCGCGGAGCGCTTGCCAGACGAGGAGGGGGAGGAGGAGGAGGAGGAGGAGGAGGAGGAGGAGGAGGAGGAGGAGGAGGAGGAGGAGGAGGAGGAGGAGGAGGAGGAGGAATTGCCGGGACTGTCGCCGTCATTCGCGGCGAGCCATGCGAAATTCGCCGACGACGTTGCTGCGGACGCGAGAAACGAACTGGATGGGGGGAAGGGGGAAAAAGAAGGGGGAATGGGGGGAAGCGAACGAGGAGGAAGCGGAGTTCAAGAGGGCGGAAGGACGCAGGAAGGGCGGAGAGCGGAGAAACGAGATGCGCGCGGGTTCAGGCCGTGATCAAGCGCACTGCTATGGATCCTAAATTTCGACCACGGTGGTGGATTGGCAAGAGTAGAGGATCTGGCCATAACTTAATCAGGTCATTTGGAACACTCAAACAGTGCCATAGCAGTGCTGTCAGCATGGCCATAACATTCCCATTGCAGTGCCGTGATCTCGTGTTCACGACTACGAGCGCGCGATAGAAGATTTGTTTTGAGACGCCTGTCGCGCGACCATGTCTCGGCACGCACTCACCTCGCGAGCTGCGCACACACGAGGCCCGCGACGGCGGCAACGGCTAGTCGTCGCCGCGATTGCCGCTCGCGACTGCGCGCCATGGCGTGACCGTGGACCACGGGCCCGGGCAGAGGAAATCGGACCGTCGGACGAGCCCGGAAAGAGAATTTCGAGTTGACGCAGAAACAGCCAAGTATGGCTTATGGGTTATTACAAGCAGTCGTCGTAAAGCGGGTGGTGGCGGTGACGCTGGCGGTGAAGGTAAGTCGCTAGAACTACTAAAGCGCAGCACTCTTGCGTCACGGGCAAGTGACAACGATGCTCGAAAAGAAGTCGCACCAACTAACGCGCGACCATTCGGGAAGGGGGTAAACTTGAACTGGACATCTAGGAGTAGGACGCCTGTGTCTGTCTGCCGTGCTGCGTGGTCTCGCTCTCTCGACTCCAGCTCTGTGCAGCACAGGCTTATGTGATGTTACAACATGTCCTCTCATCTCTTGCCTTGCTCCACCGCCGCGCCACCAATCACTATCAGTCAGGGAGCAGTAGGTGCTGTGTACTGCACTGTCCATTGTCCCTGCCGCATGCACCCACCCACGATTGTCGGTCCATAAACTCCCTGCTTCCCCTGCCTCACTCACGCCTTGCCATGGTCGTGCCGTGGTGTTCCCTCCTCACCGAATTACGCCGGCGAAGCCTCCCACCGGTTACCGATTCAGACGAAAGAGAAACGATGTCCTTTCCGTGGGCGTGCGATGTGGTAGATGTGGGTGGGGTTTCGCAGAGCTTTCGGTGGGGCAGTTTCCACCTCCCCCCGTCCCTTAGACGAAACAGGTTTCTTCATGTCGCTGTCGGAGCCGCGTGATTCGTGAACCCCCCCTCCCGTTGCTTGTCCCTCCCTGATCCACCAGCAGCGGCGGCGGTGTGTGACATCTGCGAGTCACGACGTGCGTCGTGTCTGGAAAGCTAGTGGGTTTTGTCGCCAGGCAACGGCGATTCGTTTCAGTATAACTGGTCAAAGGGGTATTCAAAATCCACTGAGGGGATTCAACTCACACTATCACACTAAGGTGCGGTATACCATCTTTCCACAATGACTAACTGGAACCACCAATCCACAACAACTAGATTCAGCTGTATCACCCTCATGCTTGCTTGCAATGCCTGCTGTAACCTCTCCCCTAATCTCTCCCTTCAGACTAGTTTATTTGAGAATGCATGACATGGCATGGCACAGCTCAAGAGCAATGTGTAGTCTCCTGTAGTAAAATTCTAGATCCTGCCCAACCTCACATCAGAGAGCTAACACTTGCCTGTAAATCCAACACAATGGAAGCTGAACTCGGATACAAACAGAAAAGCCTGTCAAGCTACAGCAGCTACTTTCATTGCTTGGCAGCGGCAGCAGCAGCAGCGCGCTTGCCCAGGTCCAGCAGCTCCTTGAGCTTGCCTGCTATCTGCTCCTCCGATAAACCCTCCAGAGCCATGGTGTGCTCCACACCATAGTCTGCCCACAGGGACAGCCGCACGGAGAGGAGACAGGGAAGTCGGGGGGAGGGGGAGGAGGGGGGGGAGAGAAGGCAGTCAAAGAAGAGGGAAGATAGGGGGAGGTGAGAGCGTGACAGAAGGGGGTTGGTGGGGGGTAACAGCATGACGTGACTGGGGAGGGAAATGGAGCTGCCAAGGGAGGGCGCCAAGGGCGGCTGTCTGAGTGACAGGCAGGGGGACGGGGAGATGGGGGGGGGGGGGGGGGGAGGGGGGATGGGGAGATGGGGGGATGGGGGGATGGGGGGATGGGGATGGGGAGATGGGGAGATGGGGGGATGGGGAGATGGGGGGATGGGGAGATGGGGGGATGGGGAGATGGGGGATGTGGGGATGGGGGGATGGGGAGATGGGGGGATGGGGAGATGGGGGGATGTGGGGATGGGGGGATGGGGGGGGGAAACAGCGAGTGAAGAGCGAGAGGGATGGGCAGGTGGCATTGGTGTTCACTGCGTGCATGAGTTTCACACGGCAAACAAAAGACTTGTTAAAGGCCTGCACACATGCAGTGCATGGCATGGGGAGCAGGTAGGATGGGGAGGATGTGGTGGCCTTGCACATAGACGCACAACCACAACGCCTTGTTGCCGCCGCTGCGTGCCCCCGCACTCCCTGCCATTCCTTCCTCTCCTTACCCCCCGCCCGCCCCCCCCCCAACCCCCCCTTCCTCCCCCTCTCTACTTTCCCCTCCCTTCGTTCCTTCTGTTCACAGATTCCATGACCCCGAGTTCCACAAATGCCCCCAGCAAAACACCCTGTTTCTCCCTCTTTTCCCCCGTACTCCCTTCCCTCCCCCCGAATACCATCCCTGCTCTCTCCACCCTTATCCCAGGGACCTTCTCCTTCCCCCTCCCTTGCCCCCTCCCCCCCCCCCCTCTCCCTCCACTTTCCCCCGAGCCAAGCCCCCAGCGCGGGCGCGGCGTACCGTAGCGCGCGGTGATGCGGGGCTGCACGCCGCTGCACTCGCGCACGAGGATGGGCAGCCGCGGGTTCAGCTGCTTCAGGTCCGCGTAGTTGCGCTGCACGAACTGCCTGCACGGGGGGGAGGGGGTAAGGGGGGGGATATGCGCGGATACGGGGGGATGGAGGGATGGTGGGGGGAAGGGGGAGGGGAGAGGGGGGAAGTTATGTTGCAGGGAACGGGGAGGTGGGGGAATGCCAAGGGGGAAAAGGGAGAGGTTGACGTGAGGAGATACGGGGTGAGAGAAGCAAGCAACGCAGATTGTGTCTTCGGGTGTCTTCGGGTGTCTTCGGGTGGTGAAATGGCCTTGGGCTAGACATTGTGAACGGGGGAAACAGAGTTCCACGAGAGGCGGCTAGCAAGGGGAAGCAAAAGGAGATAAAGCTGCACCGCGGAGATGCACACGAGATGAGAAGCAATGAGAAGCAAAACCGGTGCTCGTCCAGCTATTCCCCCAAGTCAAATTCAACCTCACTTCGAGCGACTCGCGCCGGGAATCGCGGCGTACCTGGCGGCGGAGCTCGCGGGGGACGTCTGGCAGAGCTGGATGCGGATCTCGTGGAGGAAGAGCGAGAGCGACGCGCGCCACGACATCGTGGCGGATGGCGCGAGCAGCGGAGCGGCGAGGAGCGGTGCGGAGCAGTTTTAGATGGCAACCGCGACGGCGAAGGGTTACCACTGGGATCCTTCCGCTCGCGCGTGCACGCTCGCTCAACCGATCGCTCGACGAAAGAGCGCGAGTACGAGGAGAGATATCGAACGGCAGGGGACGAACAACAAGACGCGATAGGAAGGCGTGATGTGCGGGGAGGAGGTGATGGAAGGGCGGAGCGGAAAGGTACGGGCGGAATGGATTGGCGGAAGTAGAACGAGGGGAACCCTGGGATGAAGCGGTGGTGGGAGTGGGGAGAAACCAAGCCGGCGGCGGTGTGGCCAAGGTGCGGTGCAAGGTGGTGGTGAGTGGTACGATTCAAAGTTTGCAACCCAATATTTTAGTACTAATCCATCTGCCCGTAAAAAGACCCCAGTTTTCCTAAATAATTGGAGTATGTTTTGGCGTTGCAGAGCAATCTATTGCAATCAATCGGACGCTTTTTTTTTTCCAATTTTTTGTTAAAATAAAAAATGAACTCCTAAGAAATGAAACTAGTCTTTAATTTCCTAGCATTTAAAATCTGTATAATTGGTTAATGTGTAATATATAATAGTGTAATGTGATTATCCATTACACTCAGTTTTGAACGTCATCCCTGGTGGGAAACAAATGTTGAGAGACCCACTAGGGTTACCTTTGAGAAGACCCTTGGGGGAGGGCCACGGGTGTAGAACCTAGGGGGCTATGGGCGCACCGATCCGCTATTAACGAGCCCTTTTTAATTCAGTGGTTGGTGACTGAGTTCTCACATGCTAGCAGAGCGTTGGTGACTCGGGTTCAATTCCCAGTGCTAGCGCTGCAGAGGCGCTCGTGTCCTCCGCATATCCCCAGCCGAGAGGGGGTGTCGAGAGGCGCGCTGGGGTTAGGGTGTGGGACGCTAACCACTCAGTGGTTAGCGACTGAATCCAAATAGGTCGTGAGGTTGTTAGAAGGTAGCTAGGTGGGACGCCATGAAAATTGCGAGAGGTTTAGCTAGGGGAGAAGGGGCGAGAGTTACGAGAGTGAAGAGAAGTTGGCGAGAGAAAAGGAGAGTGGACTAGAAGAGAAGGAGATACAAGAAGGGGGGGGGGGGGTTGTTCCCTCTACAGAAGGATTCAGTAAGTAGAACAACTACCAAGCCTACACAACGATATATTTAAATATATACTTTGACACACCCCCTATGCTTGGTAGTGACAAGCCCATCCCACCCGCAGCACCCCCACATCCTTGCACCCCCATTTACTTCAGCAGCAGTGGCGTCGACCAGCTGGTCGAACCCTTGGCAAGCGAGATGGCGACGTCGGCAGCGAGGGCAGCGGCTGCAACGGCGGCGACGGCGGTAGCGACAACAGCGACGGCGGCGGCGGCGTGCGGCGGTGAGGCCAGCGGCGGTGGCGGCTTCGACGACAGCGGCGGCGGTGGCGGAGCTCGCATCACTCGGCGGCGTGGCACAACCTGCGAAGACGAGGGGGAGGATGGCACGAGGTCGCCAGCAGCTGCTGCGGGGAGTAGGGGAAAGGTAGAAGCGGGGAAGGGGGAAGGGGTGGGGGGCGGATCTTCAGCGCGGCGTCATGGCTGGCGCGACGCTTACTGGTGTGCGGGCGGGCTGGACGCGGCTAACACGATGCGCGACCCGCTGCCGCTCGTGCGCTGGCGCGTCGACGCCGCCGCGACAGCACGACGAGGCTGCCACGGCAGTGCATCGAGATCGCCGCGGCAACACGACGCGGCCGGCGGCATGACGACGCCGCCACAGCAGCACGACTATGAATTCTCCTACTTCTGGTCTATCTACTAACGACCAATCTGACTTTGCTTCCTTGATGGCTAATCAGTGTACTCAGCAATAACAACAAGCTCCAATGCATCCGACAGCTTCTATGAGCCTTGATAACTCTAGTTATGCAAGAGTTGCTGTTACCACTATACCTTCAGCCCAAGGAGATGAATCTGCTGGGTCTTTTGCCTTCCATGGGCAACCTGCCCAATCACAGTGACAACAACACAACCTTAGCAACAACAACATCAAATGGCAAAAAAAATACCATTTGCTGCCGAAGCTGTCGTAAACCAAGCGGATTTCCTAACCACGGTATCTCCAAGCTGAAGATCTCAACTTACTTTGATGGTCGTGACTTCTATACTTGGGGATTCAAGTTCGAACTCCTCGCGTAATCTTCTGCTATATAAGGATATTTTGATGGTACAATCCGTTATCCAGAGATAGGATCGATCGAAGAACATGCGCGTTATTATAAGTATTCGCTTATGGCCTATACACTACTGGTGCGGTGTGAAGGCGCCCCTGTCAAGACTATCTCGTCGCCTTCAGCTTTTTCAACTCAACCTGCAAAAGGCAAGGCAATCATTAATTGCATGATAGGACCACACTGGTCTAGTGGTATACGCTACTGGAATCGACAAGTCAATGAGGACAACGATAGTGACATGGAAAAAGGACCAGCCAACCTACCTCTACGTCTTCGCTCTCATACAGAAACCCCAGAACCAACTGTCATTAACGAAGAAGAACCAGAGCAGTCTAATGGCTTTTCTCGACAATTGAACGTGCAGCCGTACGCTCACATCGCTAAGCGTGCGTATCCCGAGTATGTTATCACTTGGTTTCTTGACAGCTGTTGCGATCACCACATGGCGTCTTCAAGTCGCTATCTCCTCAACTGGTGAGACCTGCAAAAATGATAAAAATGCAACATCACAATGGCCAACAATCAAGTTATTGAAGCCACAAGAATTGGAGATGTGATACTAGACTTCGATGTCACTGAAGTTTCCCTTCACCTTTACAAGGTTCTCGTCGCCACAGGACTTGGCTTCAACTTACTATCACAAGCGCAGCTGATGGAAACAGGGATCTGTTTCGTCAGCACCACCAACATGATGCGCACGGAGTTGTCCATAGGCAACAAGAAGGAAGACAAGCATTTTACTCGGCATCGCAGAAATTAAAGACGACGTTTCCGTTTTACGTTTTTCACCTATGAAAGCATCTGACGACAGTCAGAAGAACGTCTCACTCGCCCCTTGGCATCATCATTGGGAGACGGATCTTCAACGCCAAGACCATCGTGGTCTCAATGTCTTCTGCATCGCGCCTCAACCTTCTCACACCAACTCCATCGACGAATTTGCAGAAGAAATAACGGAAGCAGCATCCGTAGCAGCAACAGAAACAAGTCAAACTACGTGGGCATCTGGAGATGGAAATTGGGGCAACGAAAACCAAGAATCAACATCTGCTATAGTCGAAGAACCTATGGAGGCTGAACGCACACGGGGCAAGAAAGAGTTCATCGTACCTAATTCTTGGGCGCGTCGTCGACATCTCGGCATACCTTGGGCTGAAACTGCAGAAGAAGCCGGATTCATCTAGCCTTTTGGCACCGGCCACTACGTTAACCCTGCGCGAACGATTCATCTTTCACCGGCCTTCTTCCTTCACTCCGATTTGTAACTGCGTTCAAAGAGACACAGGACTACAACAGAAATATGGCATAAGCGGTTAGGTGATCCCTCGCAAGAAGCTCTTAACAATTCGATTAAAGCCTCAGTTTTTTACAAGGACACTCTCCTTCTAACCAACGGCCAAGAGCTTCGACCCAACAGACGCCAACTACCCTGCACCATCTGCCCCGAAGCTCACCTGAGTCACGCTCCGTTCCCGTCACACTTCCCGAGTGCTACTAAGTACTCACCCATGGACGTCGTTTTCACCAACTTACTCTTCATGCCGCAAGAAGCAGAGGATATCAGCGGCAATGATTACTGCTATATAATTAGCTTAATTGAGGGTGCTACTCGATACATCTGGCACAAGAATATCTCTCACAAGTCTGAAGCTCTCGATGCCTTCAAGCTATGGCTGAAAATCGCGGAGCGGCAGAGCGGCATCAAGCTGAAAGAGATCCAGACAGACAACGCGGGCGAGTACACTAGCGAGCAGTTCGATGAATTCCTAGCGCGGAAAGGGATACTCAGGCACAAGACTGTGCCTTACGCCCAATAGCAAAACAGAGTAGCGAAACTAACAGAACATTGCAAGAGAAGATGCGCATGCTGCTGCAACAGTCCAGCTTGACAGCAGACTTTTGGCCGTTTACGATGGCGCATGCTGTCAGACTATACAGCTGTCTGTCTTCAACAGCTCTTCCTCAGTTCAGCTCGCCACACGTCATATGGACAAAACACCCCGCCGACAATCAACTTTTACGAGTTTGCGGCTGCATGGTCCAATACAGACCTCCGAATGCAACTACTAGCAGATTTACTGAACGGGCTCGATGGGGAATACACCTCGGTGTACCCAAGGATTTCTATTCTTGGATAATTATGGATTACGAAACCCGAAAGGTTTGTATGCCCGAGACAGCATCTTCTACGAGAAACTTTTTCTCAACAACTTCGAACGCGACAAGGAACGCCAGCAGCAGGTTTCTGATCGCTGCAGTGCCGAACAGAGTTTCGCCACCCCTCAAGACGAAGCAGATGCAACCGGAGTATATTATCCGCCCGACAGCGCAGCAGCAGGACCTTCGAGAGTTCCGCAGTCGTTTGCGTCAGCAGCTGCACATGGTCCTTCCTCCCGTGATGCAGCACTGTTCAAATTATATATTCCTTCAACATGTGCCAACAACACAGACACCCCACTCTTCATTCCCCTCTCAGGCCCGTTGCGTCCTACCATGACATAGGCTGCCTATAATTATGAGGAGCACCTGCGCCGACAGAAAGCTAACGCAGCATCACATGATGGTGCCCGCCATCTGCCATACGAACTTGACGACAATGACGCCGTCAAAGTTTGCAAACCTCATCCTCGTGGTAACCAATCGACTCTTCAGATCCTCGGCCTTGCTGTCACAGTTCAGCAACCAACGGCTGGGATCGAGCCAAAAACAGTCAAGCATGCCCTCTCCGGCTCTGATGATGACAAGTGGCAAAAAACTATGGATGCAGAGGTAGTAGCTATCGAGAAGTGGAAAACGTGGAAACTCGTTCCACGCGAAGCAGCACGTGGAAGGAAAATAGTTACGGGCAAGTGGGTATTTCGCATAAAGACAAACGCAACAGGCGAGCAAGACAGATTCAAGAAGAGATGGGTCGTTCGAGGTTTTGAACAAACCCATGGCATCGACTACGACCAGACTTTTGCTCCTGTCAGCCGCCATAACTCAGTTCGAATTCTTCTCGCCATTGCTGACACCCGCCATCGGCCACTTCACC